GCCTCTCACCAGGGGCAACTCCAGAGTGGAAGAGTGTCCAGCCCCTGTCAAGGAAACTGGTTCCAGAGCCCGAGCCATTCGTAGAGGTGAGTCCGACTATTTCTAGCCGGAACCTCTCAGCCTCACACACCAGCTCAGGCTCCTTCCCCACCAGTGAGGTGACATTCCACGTCCCAATAGCTGAGGATCAGACCGCCAGGGTCCCCGCCCTCGGCTACCACCCATCCCACATTGCACCCGACCCCTTTGGCCCCTCCCACAGGTGGTGAGCCCATGGGAAGGGGGACCCACGTCTCCTCTTCGGGCTGTGCCCTGCCGAGCTCCATGGGTAAAAGCCCGGCCACCAGGCGCTCGCCCGCGTTCCCCACCTCCAGGCCTGGCTCCAGAGTGGGGCCCCGGTGACCCACGTCCGGGCAAGGGAACACTAGGTCCATTTATTTGTCTCATCATCGGGGTATTTGGGCTGCACTTTGTCTGGTCCCTCACCTAGGACCTGTCTGCCATGGGTGACCCTACTAGGGGCATAAAGCCCCTGACAGCATAGCTCCTAGGATCATTGGGACACTCAAACCCCTCCACCACGGTAAGGTGGCAGCCCAGGGAGGGGCACACATATAGTATATGTTTTTATATTTTCACGAAACAAATAAAAAGCTGTTGTTGTCACATGACCTCATGACCTGAAAGCTGAATCAAGCGCTTTGAAGTGTCCCCCCCCCCCCCCCCCACACACACACCCTTGGACAGAAAAAGAAAATGGGCAGAGTTTAATCCAAACAGTCGCAGGTTGTCATAAAGATTGAAGCTCCAGTAAGTCTAATGTCGTCTGCAACACTGTCTGAAAGGCTGAGTTTTGGGGACCTGGCAGATTTTTTTTGTCTACTTTTAGAAGCATGTACTTGATTAAACAAAGAAAACTGAATCCAGGCATGAGCACTACTCCACCCCTTCTTTTTTCTCAGTTTCCAGTTGATGCAACCTTTTGATTTTAATTTCAGCTTCACAGTGCCATGTTTTACTACAACAGATGGGAAGCTGCTGCACTTTTTAATTCTGTTCTCTAATGACCTGCAGGATGGTGGGACAGAAAGAAGACGACAGCTCGCAGCCCATGATCGATGTGCTGTACCGGCAGAGCGCTGCAGACCAGGACTTGGTGGCTGTCCTGCAAAAACTGTACCTGTGTGCAAGCACGGAGTTCCTGATGGCCGTCACAGATTTCTTTCTGCAGGCTCTGCCGCAGAGTCCAGCTGCAACCGTGTCAGTTGCAACGAGCGATAAGCTGCCGCAGAGACAGACCACCGAACCTCGACCTGATGCAAAGGCTGGTAAGACTAGGAGACTGGGTCCAGGACCAGACGAAACATTCATTCAACCTTTATTTAAACAGATAAATCACATTGAGCCTCGAAGACTCATTTACAAGTGAGACCTGTTTGGACAGACAAAAGTAAACAGACGAAACAACAGCTTCTGTCAACAAGAACATCTATAGAAAAAAAGGACAGGAAGAGTTTTGATCATCAAGGTGGCTGCAGTGTCTCGGTGGTCAGAGCCGTGGTCTTGTAATCCTGAGGTTGTGGGACTGAGCCCAGGTTGCACCAGGAAGGGCATCTGGCATCAAACAATGACCAGATCTTTCATGAGTTCACTCACTGTGGCGACCCCTGCAGAGAGGACAACCGAAAGAACAACATTAGGAAACAATAAAACTACAGTTAAACTAAGGGCTAAGTTAAACTAAGTTGTTTATACAAATAATTACCTTTATATATCCAGATAGAAAACCACTGAGATCAAGATTTCTTTTACAGAGAGGACCGGGACAAAAAGTCAGCAACACACGTCACAATTAATAAATCCATCAAATTCATATAAAATTAATAACCCCTCAAAGATGTTTTATGTTCATCTGATGAAGAGGTTCAGTTTTTCTTGTAAATACATAGTTCCCACACACGTGACTGGTATTGCGCAATACTGTGTTTTCTGCAATTTTATGAGGCGCAAGTGAAGAAGATGCTTACAGACAGACCAGAGCTCAGTATATTGATACTCTTGACCAAGAGCAAGATATAGGCATAAAATAGCTGCGGTCCCTATGAGGTGGAGGAAGAAATTATGTCAGACGAAACAGACAAGTTGTCACCGTGAAGTTACTTTGATATTGTTAATTATTTAGTGAACACGAGGAGTGCTACAACGGAGGAGCGTCACAGCTTTAAATCCACGGATGCTTATAATCAATGACGGATTTGTGGCGGACGTCCGAACTCTTCATGTTAATAAAGTTCTGGCGACTGGCAGAGTAAGTAGTTACAATAATATTCACGTAAATGTCCCTCCTAGCTAGCTACAAGCTACATCAGCTAAGCTAATTTTTGTTACATTAAAGATTTCTGATATTTACTGTAGCAAAGATTAGTTTAGCTGATGTAGCTTGTGCCACGTAAATATCACTGATTATTTCTCACATTACTACATTATTTATTTTCCCTATGACTGCCTTTCATACTTAAATTTGTGGTAACAAAATAAATCATGTGTAATTATTGCTCATAGTATTAAACATGTTACAGTAAATGTCACTGATATTATTTATTTTCCACTATGACTGCCTTTGTTAATAAAGTTAGTGGTGGAAAATTACAATTTAGTAACTCCTTTTAATCCATTGGTGAAATGTTTTAAAACCCTGAAACAAGAACAGATTTTAAGTTTTCCTCCTTTGTGTTGTATTTCTGTGTGAGGTTCTCCCAGAAGATGAAACTCCACTTGGTCCAGAAGTTGTGCAGTCGTGCACCACAGCAACAAATGAGTGAAAATATCATTTCTATAAATGAACCTGCTTATGAAGAACATGTGATGTGGTTGTGAAATGTGCATGTGCGTGTTCTTACCTTTAGTTTGAATAAAACAGTTGCACCAAGTTTCACCTTCTTTATTTCAATAATTAAGATCCTCTGTTTAATCTCCAATACTGAGAAATAGTTTCATTGTAATGTCGCCTCTATAGACATTATTCTACTGCACATAAATAAAACCTAGCTGTAGTGATTGTTCTTTGACAAATTACCAGTTTAGTGTTTTACTGACATGTAAAAAACATCAAAACATGCATGTTGCTGTATGTTCCTCCTCCAGGAGGAGACTGACACAGTTCTAAGTCAAAGCCTATAATTAGAAATTCAAAACAGTTGAAACTGAATACAAGATGAGAACTGTGGGTGATTTGATGCCATTTAATGACAATGACTCCATGCAGCTGATCATAGTGGGCTACAGAATAAATACCAGATCAACAACACTCTTCAACAAGGACTGATGGAGACCAGTGGAGTTTCTGACTTTAAACAAACTGGAACAGATTCCTCGTCATGTGGGACCGCCCGACTGGAGCAGCCAACCCCTCAGGATCCAAGACTGGACCCAGGTCTAGAATCTGAGACCGGACCCAGGTCTAGAATCTGAGACCGGACCCAGGTCTAGGAGAGTCCTCGCACTGGAGCTTTTCTTTGGATCAAACTCGGCCCTTCACTCGTCTGTAACTTAAAAAGAAAAAGATTAATAAACACTGTCATGTTTGCATCACAAACTCTAAAATAAGACAATTAATACAGTTCATAACATTTTTACTCATTCACAAAGTTATATGTTCAATTTTATATTGATTTGAGTAATTTTTATCTTAGATTGACTTTAATATTTTTGAATTATTGTGCCGGCTGCTTGTGTCATTACCTGCTGTTCCTCTGCTGCTGATGTTCTCAGAGTCAGTGTCTGTCGGCTTCAGTGCAGGAGACCAGTCTGTGTGTGACTTGTGTGCACGCCTTCCTGAAAAAACTAATAATTCAATAAAACAAATGTTGAAATACCCAAAAGATGAACTTGTGTTATGGAATATTTTCAGTACAGATGCATCCACTGCTTTATTCACACATGAGAGTAAAGATGGACTCAGAATCAAAACAAACTGATAGTTCTAGTCTGACAACGTCGCAGTGTTCAGATATTATGTATATTAACTACAATGTGTGTGTGTGTGTGATGCAGATACTGTACAATATACACAGTATATGCCTCATACACTGTGTGTACTGTATAACATGTATTTATATTAATTACTGAAGATTTGTTTAGTAAATGCTTTAACTGATATTCACTCACATTTTAGTACAATTTTATCTTCATGTGTGTTTTTCTCTTCTTTTATTCACATCATTATTTTAAACGTGCTTTAATAACTGGTTTAATGACGGCTCATGTGTTGTGAGCTGCTGTAATGTCATATTGACCTGGTCTATCTTGAAACAAAGATATGTAAACTGTCTCAATCAGATCTAACCAGCTAATAAAGGTTTAAATAAAATAACAAGCAGCCTCCTGACAACAAACAGTCCAGGCTCAACACGGGACCAGAACCAGAACTTTGTTGTGAGTGTTACGGTGTGGAGGTTAGCACGTAGCATAGTGTTGCTAAGCTAACTACAGTACTACTAAATCATGAAAAACAGTTCCAATACACACACAGTTATACTCTGACTGTTAGGATTTGTGTCAGGAGCGAACCCAGAGTGCAGAACAGGGACTCAACTCGGCAGATATACAAAAATAGGTTTTTAATGATAAATGAAAAGTACAAAATAAACAAGCTGACGGGGCAGCAAAACTTACATGAACTAGGAAGGAGGCACGGGGAACTCAGGAGACACGGGGAACTCGAGGGACCAGGAAGACAGGGAAAGACTCAGGAGACCCAAGGAAGAGTACCCAACGAAGACGACCCGACGAAGAACACGACAGAATAGGACAGCTTAAATACAGGGAGAAGACGAGACATGATGACAAACAGCTGGGACGAGACACAGGTGGCAACAATGGAAACTAATGAGGAAGCACGAGGGAAACAGACAAACCGGGCCACAGAAAAGTACCATCCTTACAGTACCCCCCCCCCCCCAAGGACGCCTCCAGGCATCCCCAAAAAACCCCCCTCCCGAAGGACTAGGGCGGGTGGAGGGTGGCACTGCAAGGGTGGAGGGCCCGAGGAAAACACGAGGACCAGAGAAAAGACACGAGGAACCACAAAGAAAAAAGGACACGTGGAACTACAGAGAAGGGGACACAAGGAACCAGAGAACAAGGAGCCAGAGAATGAGGACACGAGGAGAAAAAGGACACGAGGAACCAGAAAAGGGACACGAGGGATCACAAAGAAGAAAGGCCTGGGATAGAAAGTAAAAAATCCTCCTTCTGGGTCAAAACTAAATCAAAGGAGGACAGGTTTCTTTTAGCAGAATTAAATAGTTTGAGAATTGTCTGATTAACATGAAAAATATCCTCAGGGGGAAAAAAAAGGAAGGTCTGTATGAGTGGGTGTGGTGACGGGTGCCGCCCCCACCGGAAACCTAGAAGGTGAGGCGGCGGGACACGCCCCCACGGTGTCACAATGAAAACTCTCCGGAGGTACGGCCAGGCTGGGTCGAACAGCCGCGGCGCGGAGTGGCGGTGAGAGGCCGGATTCCGCCCCCACCAGGAACCTGGAAGGTGAGGCGACGGAACCCGCCCCAATGACGTCAACCGGACCGGACTCACCGAATCGAACAGGAGTGGACCGGAGCTCCCGCGGGACGCTGGATCTCGCCCCCACCGGAAACCTGGGAGGTGAGGCGGCGAACCCCGCTCCCACGAAAACACCGGAACCAGCTCTGAAGTTCTGCTCGGCCGACGAGACCAGGCCGGTCGCCGCAGACTGCCTCCGGAACCGTCCACCGCGGTGGCGGCGGGACGGTGGATGGACAGAGACGGAGAGGAGCTCGTCCATCACGGCACAAGGAGGGAAAAAAGGTGAGTGTTGCCCAGTGAGAACCCTGCCCGCTGGGTTCTGTTCTGGTCGGGTCGTACTGTTAGGATTTGTGTCAGGAGCGAACCCAGAGTGCAGAACAGGGACTCAACTCGGCAGATATACAAAAATAGGTTTTTAATGATAAATGAAAAGTACAAAATAAACAAGCTGACGGGGCAGCAAAACTTACATGAACTAGGAAGGAGGCACGGGGAACTCAGGAGACATGGGGAACTCGAGGGACCAGGAAGACAGGGAAAGACTCAGGAGACCCAAGGAAGAGTACCCAACGAAGACGACCCGTCGAAGAACACGACAGAATAGGACGGCTTAAATACAGGGAGAAGACGAGACATGATGACAAACAGCTGGGACGAGACACAGGTGGCAACAATGGAAACTAATGAGGAAGCACGAGGGAAACAGACAAACCGGGCCACAGAAAAGTACCATCCTTACACTGACATTGTTTCACAAAATTATTTATATAGAATTTTTTGTTTATCGGACAAAAAGTGATCGGAGCACGACATCTTCAAGGGCAGAATCTTAGCCAGACTCAACGATGTTCTGCGGTGAGCTCCTCTGATGGAGGTCCTTCACATTTCCTTATTTTTGGGATTAAGTGAAAACTGATCAATAGATAAAGTAAAATACTCTAACACTCACTCACAAATAGGACTTTTAAAGGATCATAGCAAACAAAGATTAAACTTATGCAACCAGAAGTTACATTATATATCTACATACAAAACGCAGAAAACAAAGCACAACTAGCTTTAATCTTTAATTTAACCATTAACTTCTGACTGCAAAGTGTTTGGAATGCAAAACCCCGACAATGTTGTCAAAGGAAAAGGGGGCAGAGCTCCTGCAGATAAGGGGCGTTTACTTTCAAGACTAATTGTGATTGCTGATTGGTCAGTTGCTGACAAGCCTACTGGATTGATTGACGGGTGGTGCTGAGGATCTGACTTGTGCAAAAAAAAAACAATCATAGATTTTTCTGGCCTGTTTAAGACTGTCATCATCCATCCATCATCTTTACCCGCTTCTTCCATTTCAGGTCACGGGGGTCACTGGTGCCCATGTCCAGCAATCACTGTGCGAGGAGAAGGGTACACCCTGGACAGGTCTCCAGTCCATCACAGAGATACATAGAGACAAACGAGACAACCATTCACTCTCTCACTCACACCTAGGGATAATTTAGAGTTACCAATCAGCCTAACATGCATGTTTTTGGTCTGTGGGAGGAAACCGGAGTACCCGGAGAAAACCCACGTTCTCACATGCAAACTCCACCCAGAAAGGCCCCTGGACCGGGATTTGAACCAGGGACCTGCTCGCCGAGAGGCAGCAGCTCTACCAGTTGCACCACCATGCTGCCCCATCATCATTTATTCCATATTTATTTCAAATTTATTCAATATTTTGGTGAATCTAAGGTTTGAGAACTGAACTTCCTTAAAAAATCCTAATGATGGTTTCTTTATTTTTCAGGGGTGCTGAGTTAAATTTTAGGGGTGCTTGAGCACCTCCAAAAAGAGGTAAAATCACCACTGGTCTGTGGCTAAGATAATGCCATTAAAAATGTTCAACAGTACTGACTCAGTACTGTGATGAGTTTTAAAACCAGATTGAAACAGTTCAAGAAGGTTATGGTCGTTTAAGTAAGATGTTAACTGGCTGTAAACTCTTTTCTCCAAGATCTTCGACATGAAGGGCAGTTTTAAAGTAGGCCTAAAATTGGACGTGACTGTAGAGTCCAGGCCAGGCTTTTTAATCAGTGGTGTCACTGCATGTTTAAAACTTACTGGTACCTGTCCATTTGTCAAGCTACTATTTATAATTCTGGACACATAAGAAGCCACCTTGTGAAAAACCTCTTTTAAAAGACAAGGTGCTATGGGATCATTTGGAGATCCAAATCATTGGGATCATTTGGAGACGTCATACGACCAGTGAAGTCCTTTAAAAAAAGAAAAGTGACGAGCTCAAAGTGACTGGAAACAACAGAGTGTGACAGATGGAGGGGTCATAAGAAGGAGCTTATGAGAACTCTAATGTTTGCAACCTTGTCAATAAAAAAGCTCAGGAATTTCTCACACACTTCAGCAGAGTTCTCTGGGCTGGCTGATTGTGGGGCATTAAGAACAGAACGAAGTCCATGCTCAATAATCCAGGTATACAATCCAACATTTTTCAGTCAGGTCATCTGGACAGTTTCTTTTTCTTTTTGTGCTGAAACGTTTCACCTTCGATCCGGAAGGCTTCATCAGTCAAGGAAACACACAACAAAACTGATTCTTTCCCCAACAGCTTACTCCAAAGTGGAACAAACCAGTTCTGGCATTAAGAACAGAGTTGATGGTTTGAAAAAGCACACGTGGATTGTTAGAGTGGGCAGCACGGTGGCGCAACTGGTAGAGCTGCTGCCTCTCAGCGAGCAGGTCCTTGGTTCAAACCCCGGTCCAGGGGCCCTCAGGGTGGAGTTTGCATGTTCTCTCCGTGCATGCGTGGGTTTTCTCCGGGTACTCCGGTTTCCTCCCACAGACCAAAAACATGCATGTTAGGCTGATTGGTAACTCTAAATTGTCCCTAGGTGTGAGTGAGAGAGTGAATGTTTGTTTGTCTCGTTTGTCTCTATGTGTCCCTGTGATGGACTTGCGACCTGTCCAGGGTGTACCCCGCCTCTCGCACAGTGATTGCTGGACATGGGCACCAGCGACCCCCGTGACCCAAAATGGAATAAACGGGTAAAGATAATGGATGGATGGATGGATGGATGGATGGATGGATGGATGGATGGATGGATTGTTAGAGTTGGAGGAAATGATGTCAGAGAAATATTTGTTTTGTTGCAGCTCTAACAGTTGACTGATAGAAACTGCCAGGTGTCCCTCTACGTTGGAAAATACACCTGTAACCAGATTCAAAAAGGATGGTTCCCCTAGAAAACAGTTAACACTAATTTGACCAAATGAACATGTTAAACTCAAATGTCTGTAATCAATCAGTCGGCCTGTTTAAAGGGCGACAGATAGTCACAGGGCTGTTTGGAACTTAGATCACTGGAAGCCAAAGACAGTTGTCTCAGTAGTTTAGATAGACAACAATTAAATAGCATGTTGAAGATAAAGACTATAAAACCATGTCCAAGCTGCTGGACTGTGACTACAGCTGCACAGTTTTAACAAGTTTAAGGTCCACAGGACTGAAGTCCATACAGTCCACTAGAGACAAACTGAGGACACATTGAAGGGACGGATTATAAGGGGTGCCCATTAAATCGATCATGATCTACTGGTCGATCGCAAAGGTATTATGGGGAGATCCCATGACATAAAAAAAAAATAGACATCAGCCTATCATCTTTGATTGACAGACAGGGTAGCCAGTTTGAGGCCCCGTTTACACAACGTAAAACGTTCGTCCGTTCATTTAAAGCAACAGCCTCATTCTCTCTGAAACCGAAGGTTTCTGAATCCAGGTCTCAGAGTGGAGATTTTCAGGAGAACCCCCCGTGGAGGTGTGAAATGCTCCATTGTGAAGTTGCACATGCACACTACAGGTAGCTGCAGTCCAAAGTTTTTCTGCTCTAACAACAATTATAATAAATGTCAGAGAGCAGAGTGTTTTTGTGCTGCTCACCCTTTTTCAGCTTGTAGGAGCAAAACTAATAAAATCCAGTTACAAAGAGACGTTAGTGTGTTCACCAGTTTGAACGCAACTGTGATCATGCCAACGCTGCATGCACAATAAATGCAACTGAGTTCTGCAGGGTTGCCAGATAAATTTAAAATGCCTCATTTACCCCCTCCTTTTCTGTGCACGTTCAACAAACACAACACACACCTCAACTTAGAATATCTATACTCAGCACATATGACAGTTTAGGTCAAAATACTATAATTTTAAAGCCACAGTACTATAGTTCATCATTTCTTATCTGGTAACCCGACTGACATGGAAACTACAGTGTTTTTGTGTAAACTCGCTCATTTTTTGTTTATTCCCCCCAGTAAACATTGAAAACGCCAACATTTCCAGAGGTTGTTCTCATGTAAACGGGGCCTTATAGCAGGTAGGTCACTTTGACTTGGTCATTTTAAAAGGAGCTGGAAAAGTGTGGGCACCCCTGGATTGTACTGTAGTACTGGAAACCAAAGAGCCCAGAACAACTATCAGCTGCCATACAAAGCTGAAATTTGGTGTGCTTATAGCTGAGAACGTTCTCCATCACATACTGAATCCAAATCAAAAATCCAAGATGGCTACCATAGCTTAAAATAAAAAAAATGTGTATAACTAGCAGATTTTTTTCCCCATATTGTGCTGAAATTGGTATAGTGGTAGCTGAGAGTGAACTCCAACACATGGTGCTGTCAAATCAAAATTTTAAATTGGCAGCAGTGTGGCAGTCAAAGTTTCTCCAGGAACTTTATTCTTTTCATTACTTTGTCAGTTTCAAGTTACTTCGTTGACCTTTGGGGGTTCTTTTTTTTAACATAATGGTAGAAACAAACTTGACTGGGGCTGTCAGTGATCAAACCTTTGACATGAAATGTTAGTGGAGTCTTTGTCAACTTAACCTGAGTAGGATCAGAACTCCTGTCCTGTTTCTGCAGCTTCTGTAGTGAGGACCCGACTGCAGGCAGTGATTGTGGACCCAGAAGTGGTGTTTGTGGCCAGCTTGATGAAGGCCGATGCCCCCGCTCTGGTGGCCTCGTTTCAGTGTGACTTCACTCTGCAGATTGAGGAAGACGGATCCCAGACTGTGAAGTCCAACCTGAGGGGGCTGAAAGTTCTGGCCTGTCCCTTCATTCGAGACAAGTGGGATAAAGCTGTTACCACTGTAAGTTCTGAGCTGTTTGAAATTCTTTGTTTTTCAGGCAGATCATTGCAGTGGTAGAAAAGCAATGCCTCACATTTTACCTGGTCCAACAGGTGCTGAAACCCTGCTCAGTTGCCTTGGAAACTAAAACTGGACCCAACCAACCACTGAGCGGCTCTGTGATGGTGGAGGAAGTCATTGTTAAGGTTTGTTCTTTTTTTATTGATCCTAAAACCAGGGCTTAATTTGAGCTGGATTCTGCCGCAACAGGATCCAGGAACTCTTATTTTAACAGGGTGTGTTCTGGTAGCTGTTTGCTTAGATCCGATAACTTTCAGGCTTGCTAATAACAAAGTGATGAACAAATTGGACTGCCTTGAATGAATAAAACCTATATTGGGTATGTAAACTGAAAATAATTATATAAACAATAATTTCAAACACAACAGCCAATTATAAGCTTTCTAATTTCGCAACAGCTGCCCCTTCAAGTAAGCATTTCTGCTTCTACCCTTAAAAAAAAATTCCGCCCCTGGGGAGGTGGGGTTAGAATGATTGAGAGAAGCGGAGTGTTCAAGTCACACAAGGACAGCTGTTGGTCCGGCTACTTCTTGTTACTCTCTAAAATAGATATTGAATCAAGTGTTTACAAATGTAGGTATACTTAGATGTTTAACAACCCGTTAAAATACACCAAAATGCAGGAAATGGTATCTACTTTATTCAAAATTTTCTGGTGGGAGGGACCCCCCCCCCCCCCCCCCCCCCCCACACACACTATTTGCTTACCGGCATCGTTGGCTTTAAACAGGTGTCATGAGTGTATGAGGCCATCCAAATTATTATATATTTTTTTTTCCCTTGTTTCATCATTCAGAAGAGAATCGTTTGGCTACCAGGACATTCTAAACCGAACTTATGCTTCAACTACAAACCGGATTCCAAAAAAGTTGGGACACTAAACAAATTGTGAAAAAAAACTGAATGCAATGATGTGGAGGTTCCAACATCTAATATTTTATTCAGAATAGAACACAAATCACAGATCAAAAGTTTAAACTGGGAGAATGTATCATTTTAAGGGAAAAATCTGTTTCCAAATTTCATGGCATCAACAAATCCCAAAAAAGTTGGGACAAGTCCATTTTTACCACTGTGTGGCATCCCCCCTTCTTCTTACAACACTCAACAGACGTCTGGGGACAGAGGAGACCAGTTTCTCAAGTTTAGAAATAGGAATGCTCTCCCATTCATGTCTAATACAGGCCTCTAACTGTTCGATCGTCTTGGGCCTTCTTTGTCGCACCTTCCTCTTTATGATGCGCCAAATGTTCTCTATAGGTGAAAGATCTGGACTGCAGGCTGGACATTTCAGTACCCGGATCCTTCTCCTACGTAGCCATGATGTTGTGATTGCTGCAGAATGTGGTCTGGCATTATCGTGCTGAAAAATGCATGGTCTTCCCTGAAAGAGATGATGTCTAGATGGGAGCATATGTTGTTCTAGAACCTGAACATAGTTCTCTGCATTAATGGTGCCTTTCCAGACATGCAAGCTGCCCATGCCACAAGCGCTCATGCAACCCCATACCATCAGTGATGCAGGCTTCTGAACGGAGCATTGATAACAACTTGGGCTATCCTTGTCCTCTCTGGTCCGGATTACATGGCGTCCCAGTGTTCCATAAATAACTTCAAATCGTGACTCATCTGACCACAGAACAGTCTTCCATTTTGCCACACTTCATTTTAAATGACCCCTGGCCCAGTGCAAACGTCTGAGCTTGTGGAGCTTGCTTAGAAATGGCTTCCTCTTTGCACTGTAGAGTTTCAGCTGGCAACGGCAGATGGCACGGTGGATTGTGTTCACTGACAATGCTTTCTGGAAGTATTCCTGAGCCCATTCTGTTATTTCCTTGACAGTGGCATTCCTGTTTGAGGTGCAGTGACGTTTAAGGGCCCGGAGATCACGAGCATCCAGTAGAGTTTTACGGCCTTGACCCTTACGCACAATGATTGTTCCAGATTCTCTGAATTTTTTGATGATGTTATGCACAGTTGATGATGATAACTTAAAAGTCTTTGCTATTTTACGCTGGGTAACACCATTCTGGTATTGTTGCACTATCTTTCTGCACAGCAATGGTGGAATTGGTGATCCTCTTACCATCTTGGCTTCTGAGAGACACTGACACTCTGAGAAGCTCTTTTTATACCCAATCATGTTGTCAATTGACCTAATTAGTGTTAATTGGTCTTCCAGCTGTTCGTTATATGCTCAATTTCCTTTTTCCAGCCACTTATTGCTACTTGTCCCAACTTTTTTGGGATTTGTTGACACTGAAATTTTGAATCAACATATTTTTCCTTTAAAAAGTTACATTTACTCAGATTAAACTTTTGATCTGTCATCTATGTTGTATTATGAATAAAATATTGACATTTACCATCTCCACATCATTGCATTCAGTTTTTAATTTACAATTTGTTTAGTGTCCCAACTTTTTTGGAATCCAGTTTGTAGATAGAAAATTGAAAAATTTTAAATTCTCATTTGCTGTCTGGAAACCAACCCATTTAAATGAATTTTACCATTTATGGAAGATTAAGAAGAGTAAAAGAGTGTATTGCTGTTTAAACTTTTGTCAACAAGCATACACGGTACTCTTGTTTTGTTTTTCTTGATTTTTTTGCATTAATATCACCAAACGAAATTTATCAGTTAACACTACACACCCCAAACTGGCCCTGAACTCATCACTGAGGTGTGTTTGTGTCTGCAGATCTCCCCGGTCATCCTCAACACAGTGAAGACGATAACAGCGGGCATGACAAAGCCCAGTACTGAGCAGAATCAGGAACTGAGTCCTGACGTCAGCGACCTGTGGTCCATCATGAACATCTACAACTGTAACTTCTGGTTTCTGGGAGTGGACCAGGCCACCGAGATGACAGAGAGCTTCACAGAGGTGGACAAAAAGAACAATGGAGAAACCTTTTCTGCTCAGATCAAGGTACAACAAAAGAGCTCATTTCAGGACCTGAACACAGTTTAGGCTCTAGCTTCTTTCTTGTTGCTGAACCGTTGTGAGCCCACAGGTAGTCCAGATGACTCTGGAGTCTGGTTTGGGTCATCGGACGGTCCCTCTGCTGCTGGCTGAGTCTTCCATAAATGGACAGGCGAAAAACTGGTCATCTCTGCTGCAGCTGAAGGCTGACATGACACTGGAGGTGAGACCTGACCTGAAGATACATGTTCTTGACTTACAATGATGTTTTTGGACATTTGTCCTCATAAAAAATATTTCCATGTAAAAATGGGAAATAATGACTGTGTTCACTATTTGACGGGTAGTCAACCCACCTTTTGTGGACAATTCATCTGTTCTTCACCAAATTTAAAAAGTTGTCCACCCGCAGTCAGACAACAATGGGCTGTCTCAGATTTATTAGGGGGCAGAAATGGTGTAGGGGCAGGACAGCCGACTCGGGACCTGAAGGTCCTGGGCTTGATCCCCAGTCATTGCACATCTCGTGGCATCTCAGAGAAGGACACCCTATCCCCAGTTGCTCCCCGGGAGCTTTCCATAGCTGCCCACTGTTCCACCTGGTGGTGGATGTTTTAAAAGCAGAGAGACATTCTCACCATTGTATGGGAACATACAATGATGAGAATACACAACACATTATTATTGTTATTATATAGTGACATTTTTTTTACTTTATTCTTACAGGCTAGTTAGCTAGCATTTCCCTACTTCTGGCTTTATGGTAACATTTTCTGTCTTTTTGCTACTTTTGGCACTAAGCTAGCATTTTCCCCTGCATTTGCTAGCTTTTGAGCATACTTCTGCCTTTATTCGCATTCCTTTTAGCTTCTTTATTGCTAATTATTGTTTTTTCTTCTTATATGAGCTTTTTTATTGTTGTTAATTTCAACTTTTTTCTGTATTCTTGAGGTATTTTTCTGCTTTTTGTGCTTCTTGCAGCTTCATCCCCCCTGAGTGATTGTAGTAGTAAATTGGAGATTGATTATATACGTAATGTGCTTTGTCTTGTTTAATGGTGGCACATGTTGTGTCTGCAGGTGAACTACTTTAATGAGGTCCATGCAGTGTGGGAGCCTCTGATTGAACGAATTGACGGTGGCCGACGCAGGTGGAACCTGGAGCTGGAGGTAAATCTTTCTGCTTCACATGTGCTGTTTGGAGCAGGAATTCTCCTTTCTTTAATCCTTTGTAATGTAGTCAAGTGATACACTGCAAAGACATTAAAGACACCATGAACATTACCATCTCCAAGCATTCTTTTGGTTTCTTCTTCTTTTTATGTTTCTATTTTCATACTGCTGTGCAGTTTTGAAAAGAAAATGTGCTAAAAATATCAAAACACGCGACTCCCTCAACGAGAGCTAAGAACCAGGTGTTTTTGGACGAACTAGTAAACTAGCAGTTTGAGATCTTTAAATGTTTTTACGCAATCACGGTTTAAGATTTATGATGTTTGGAGATTTTATCACAGAATGTTTAACTTGAAGTGTGATGATGTCACACACACTATAAGCTACTTAAACTGAACCTATAACTAGAGTTTTTTTCCATTATGGCCATCTACATAAATCTTGTGTAATTTCAGAACCCATGTCTTAGGCCTATGCTTTCAGGAAAATAAGGAAATAGTCTTTGATTAGATTACTGTGTTGCTAAAATAACTCCTAAATTTCTCTTGGCCTTTAGAGCAAAAATTGAATGGTGTTGTCATTTTGAGCAATGTCACTTTTTTGTTTTTGTCATATCTTGACTCCCACAGTCAGTTTAAACAGGAATGTGAGAAAGCAGCTCGTATGAATCTTTCAAAGAACTATTGATCCAAATAGTTTTATAGTTTATGAAAGTTTGGCCCCTGAGAAGAAAAATGTAGATTAGAGGTGGATGAAGGTTCTTCCACAATCGCTGGTCTGGTTCGGGTCGCTATACCATAAAGTAACTGATTCTGTAAGTCCGAGCACCAACCTGACAAAATCCTTTTTTTCCTTGCAGATCAAGAACAACCCAGTTATGGACAAGAGTCCCGTGCACGGAGACGACGACTTATTTCTTCCTGAACCTCAGACCGTCATCAACATCTGCTCCAAAGATCCCATGAACATCACCATCTCCAAGAGCAGCCTTGGTGTCTTCCAAAACCTGGCTAAGGTACCACATGTCCTGATAGGTTTATCCAGCATGGTTCAGTGTTCGCATGTGGTGCAGTGTAGAGCTGCAATTTCTTCCCCGAGCCTGGGCCCAACCTGAAATTTGGGCCGGGCCGGGCCAAAATTATGTGCTTGATGGGCGGGCTGGGTCGGTCTCGGGATTTTGATGCGGTTTTATGAATCATACAGCACAAAGAAAACTAAATAATAATGCACAATATAAAATTGTGTTAATCTATTTGTAGAGGAGGAGGCAGTAAGTTTACTATGTTGAAGATGAGGAAAGAAAGAAGAGTGCAGCAGTTAATCAGACAGTGAAAACAGAGAAGCACTGGCGCATTGTACATTTGCGCATGTGGCCCAACCCACCCTACTTTTATCACACATCTGAGGATTTGCAATTGATCCACAACAAGTGACATGATGGAGCTGGAAAGTATTAAACAAAAGCTAAAAATGGGAGAACTCACTCAACAAAGCCAGCACAGTGAAACCTGCTGATGTGTGTCAGGTCAGGTGCACGCTCGGGTCCGACCGGCCGGTTGAAAGAGGTAAAAAAAAAAGTCCTATTAAGCTTCAGGTGGATCACTGGATCATCGTCTCAGGCTCGGAAAAAATGGCTACGGGCTGGGGCCGGGTTGAGTCGGATTTTTAAGGCCCAAATGCCACTCTAGTGCAGTGTGAATGATGAGAGCTAAATTACTTCAGTGAAATGAGCTGAAACTAAATTTATTTATTTTTTCTTCTTCTTTCGGCTGCTCCCTTCTTCAGGGGTCGCCACAGTGAACTAAGTCGCACGAAGACTTGGCAGTTATTTTTACGCCGGATGCACTTCCTGATGCAACCAAAGACACCGAGCTACCACAGTCTCTGTGTGGAGCAGAGAGCTGCTAACTAAGACACCCGGAGGAGCAGATGGTGGGAGTTAAGGGCCTTGCTCAAGGGCCCAGAGTGGGATGAATGAGAGTGGGGACAGGTGTGGGAGCTTCGCCTACCCCACCCACATTTTTGATGATGTCAGTACCGGGGCTTGAACCGGCAATCTTCCGATCACAGTCCCACCTTCTCTAACCTCTGCACCACCACTCCCCTGACCTGGCCTAAAACAAATGATTGCTGTTTCAGCTCTGTGGTACATAACCATTTTTTAGAGACAAATTAAGCAGATCCAAGATGTGGTTATTAATTAAGGGGCATGCGTCTTTAAATAGTCTGGATGGGATGGGATCTAGCAGAAATGTGGATGGTTTGGATGAAGCTATTATTTTTGACAATTCAGAGAGCTCAACAGGACAAAAACTGTCCAAACATAAATCAGGTTCTAGTGAGATTTGTTTAAGTTTTAAGGTCTCATCTGACACAGAACCAGAGGCGATACTAGGAATGTTGGTTTGAATTTTCCCTCTAATTGAAACAATTTTATTTATAAAGAATCTCATGAAGTCTTCACTGCTTATAGTTGTATGAATGCATGAATCAACAGAAATAGGATTTTCCATTAAACTAGCTATGGTACTGAAAAGGAACCTGGGGTTATTTTTATTTTCATCAATTAAAGATGAATAATATAAAGTTCTAGCTTTACAGAGTCCTTTTTTGTACATTAGCAGGCTATCTCTCCAGGATAAGTAAGATTCCTCAATGTTAGTGGAGAACCATTTTCTTTCTAGCTGTCTTTGCTCTCAGTGACTGTGTATTCATTTAATGTAAACTCAAAGGTAATTAAAAAATGGTCAGGTGTCAGATGTCTGTTTTAAAGTACGTAACTCAGAATTGAATCAAGGAGCTAATCTCCTCTGATTGATTACTTTCTTTTTCAGCGGAGCAGCTTTATTGAGTGAAGTTTGCAAACTAGTTGTAAAATTATCAGCTAGTTGGTCTAAGTCACTGTTCTCTGATGTATTACTCTACAAGACAGAGGAAAACGATAGAAGAGAATCTTTAAATTTGGTTACAGTGTTTTCTGATAAGCACCTGCTAAGGTGAATTTGACTCTCAATGACTGTGTTGTCATTTAATGTAAACTCAAAGGTTGTTAAAAAATGGTCAAACAGAACAGGACTTTGGAGAAATATTACTAAGTTATTAATCTCGATACCATAGGTCAGAACTAGGTCAGATATGTCAAGTAACTGTAAACAACGTGAGCTGATTAATTTATTCAAAGGTGCTGTTGTTTACACAACCCCAACAAGATGTGCAGTGATTTATGGTTTGAAATGTTTTCTTCCTGGGCCAACTCTCCTCAACCCTTTAACACAAACGTCAGTCACCAGAGTGAGTTGCTGAAAAAGCTACTCGTGACTTTAGACCTGATGAAGGACACCAGGGCGGTGGGTGCGTGACACTGCACAGTCTGAAACTGAGCAGCTGAATCAGAGAATAATAAACAAAACACTCTGCAGTAGGGCTGGGCGATATATCGATATTTAAAAAATATCGAGATGATTTAAAACGCAATATAAAATGAGACTATATCGATATAAAACGATATAGTATTATACTCTGCATACAAAAAGCGTTCGATACAAAAACAACTGGACTTTATTTGTAATAGAAGACGTTTCGCTCCTCATCCGAGGAGCTTTCTCAATTCAAAGAGCAGAGAGTGAGAGATACAGGTTATAAGGCTGAGTGAGATAAGACACACACACATATGTAGATTGGCAATTCACACCTAAACAAACATTAACAGTAAGAGTCTTTGGTTCCTCTAATTCACAGACGAGGCCCCTCTGTTCCCTTCAGGTGTGAAACCGGCTGGGAATCTGTTTTAAAGTTGCATTATAGGTTTTTGAAAGTGGAAATCTGAGGCCTCCTCCTCTGTTAAGAGACGGCTTTTCTCTTTTTACATAAATTGCTTCCTTCACCCCCCTCTCAAACCATCTGTGTTCTCGGTCTAAAATGTGCACATTTTGGTCCTCAAAAGAGTGTCCCTTATCTGTGAGGTGGAGGTGAACAGCTGAGTCTTGTCCTGTGGAGCTGGCTCTCCTGTGTTGAGCCATGCGCTGTGAAGAGGCTGTTTAGTTTCTCCAATGTAGAGGTCTGGAGAGTCCTCGCTGCACTGGACCACATACACTACACCACTCTGTTTGTGTATGGGTGTTTGGTCCTTTGGGTGGACCAACCTCTGTCTGAGAGTCCTGCTGGGTTTGAAATGTACTGGAATCTTGTGTTTGTTGAAGATCCTTCTGAATTTCTCTGATATTCCAGCAACATAAGGGATGACAATGTTTTTACGTCTGTTGTTCTCCTTTTTCAGTTTATTGGTGTGTTTTGTAGATTTCCTCGCTGACTTGACAAAAGCCCAGTTAGGATATCCACATGTTTGAAGAGCTTCTTGAATGTGTTTCTGTTCCTTTTCCTTCCCTTCTGTCTTCGTGGGGACACATTCGGCCCGATGCTGTAAAGTTCTGATGACAGAGAGTTTGTGTTCCAATGGATGGTGGGAGTCAAACAGAGGATACTGGTCTGTGTGGGTTGGTTTTCTGTAAACTTCAATGTTGAGGCTGTCCTCTCTTTCCATCTGAACCAAACAGTCCAAAAAAGGCAGCTTGTTGTCGTTTGCATCCTCTCTGGTGAACTTGATGCTGTTATTGATCGAGTTAATGTGTCTGGTGAACGCTTCTATTTCCTTGGCTTGGATTTTGACCCAAGTGTCATCCACATAACGGAACCAATGGCTTGGCGTTGTTCCCTCATAGGAGTTTAGGGCTCTCTGTTCCACTTCTTCCATGTAGAGATTGGCATCAATGGGTGACACTGGAGATCCCATGGCACAGCCGTGCTTCTGTCTGTAAAAACTGTCATTGAACTTGAAATAAGTGGTGGAGAGGCAGAGATCCAACAGGGTGCAGATCTGGTCTGGGGTGACGTTGGTCCTGTTGATTAAGTCCTTGTCTTGTAAAAGTTGTTTTCTGACGGTTTCTACTGCTTCAGAGATGGGTATGCATGTGAAAAGAGAAGTCACATCATACGATACAAGGGTTTCTCCTGGGGTTAGTTTCAAGTGTTGAACTTTGATAGCAAAATCAATGGAGTTCTTTATGTGATGAGGTGTGTTTCCAACAAGAAGAGCTAAAATACCAGCCAGATGTTTAGCAATATTGTATGTCACTGAGTTCATGCTGCTGACGATGGGTCTGAGTGGTGTTCCTTCTTTGTGTATTTTTGGAAGTCCATAAAGACAGGGAGTGGCTTCCCCTGGGTACAATCTATAATACAAAGATCGATTGATTGTTTTCTCCTTTTCAAGTTTTTGCAGGTAATCTGTGACTTTCTTTTTGTAGGCACTGGTTGGGTCCCTCTTCAGGGTCTCGTAGATGTTGCTGTCGCTCGGAAGTGTGGTTATTTTTTCCCGGTAATCAGCAGTGTTGAGGACTACTGTGCATCTTCCTTTATCAGCTGGTAAAATGGTGATGTTTTGGTTCTGGCTGAGTGATGTTACAGCTTTCCTTTCCTGTTGTGTGAGGTTTGAAGGAGGCGGTTTGGCACTGGAGAGGGTTTCTGATATTTTCATTCTGAGTTGTTCTGCCTCTCCTTCCGTCAAGTTGTTGTTCCTAATCACGGATTCAGTGGCCGTGATTAGTTCCACAACAGGTATTTCTTGTGGGGAGATGGCAAAATTTAGTCCTTTTGTCAGCACATCTTTCTCAGGTTGTGTCAATGTCCTGTTAGACAAATTTCTAACCCACTGGTCCTGAAAATTAGTGTTTGCCACAAACTCCTGATCTTGACTGATGGCTTGTGATGAGAAAACAGCTCTCTGTTGTAATTTTAGAAACTTACTTTTTTGACGTTCCTTGCTCTTTTGATGCTGTGAAAGCTGGGCTTTTTCAACGAAACAAGAAACTTCTTCCAACAGAGGAAGTGGTAGCTGAGTAGACAGCTTCTGGAGGGTTTGATCCATTTTTAGTGAGAGAGCTTCAATGGTGAAGTGTATCTGTCCTATTCTCTCACTGAGCAGCTTGTTTTGAGCTTTCAGGAGTATTCCTTCTGCTCTGTGTCCTTTGATCGTGGAGTTGAGTTTCAAAGTACTGGGGATGAGTTTTTCTTGTCTGCATCTCAGACTGAAACGAAGATGATTCCTGTAGTCTGCAAACTTCCTTGACATCTTCTCAAACTCCCGCACTGCTCCTAGGGTATCCTTACCAAAATGTTTAGCAATATGCTGGTGAAGTTTCTCAGTCATCCAGGAAAAACACCCATACACAAACAGAGTGGTGTAGTGTATGCGGTCCAGTGCAGCGAGGACTGTCCAGACCTCTACATTGGAGAAACTAAACAGCCTCTTCACAGAAGCATGGCTCAACACAGGAGAGCCAGCTCCACAGGACAAGACTCAGCTGTTCACCTCCACCTCACAGATAAGGGACACTCTTTTGAGGACCAAAATGTGCACATTTTAGACCGAGAACACAGATGGTTTGAGAGGGTGGTGAAGGAAGCAATTTATGTAAAAAGAGAAAAGCCGTCTCTTAACAGAGGAGGAGGCCTCAGATTTCCACTTTCAAAAACCTATAATGCAATTTTAACACAGATTCCCAGCCGGTTTTCACACTTGATGGAAACAGAGGGGCCTCGTCTGTGAATTAGAGGAACAAAAGACTCTTACTGTTAAGGTGTTTAGGTGTGAATTGCCAATCTACACATGTGTGTGTGTCTTATCTCACTCAGCCTTATAACCTGAATCTCTCACTCTCTGCTCTTTGAATTGAGAAAGCTCCTCGGATGAGGAGCGAAACATCTTCTAAATAAAGTCCAGATGTTTTTGTATTGAACGCTTTTGGAATTCATCATGTCCTGGATGACTGAGAATCTTCACCAGCATATACTCTGCATAAAGATAAATTCAGCAGTTTTTTTCTCCCAGTCTGACTCTGCAACCATTCACACCACCCCTCCTCCTCCCTCCCTCACTGACAAGCCCACACCTCCCTGGCTACTTGCTTTAGCTGAAGACGTTTAGATATGCAGATAGCTGTTTGTTGACTCACAGTGGGAGAGCACTTTAAATTTCTGATAAGGTGTGAAAATGACGGTGGCTGCTTCAACAAAACTGTCTTGTGTCGGGAGAGAAATTTATCTTAAAATATCGAGATATTAATTTTGGTCCATATCACCCAGCCCTACTCTGCAGTTACTTCATCACATCAACCTGCTCCCTGATTCCAGTTGGTTGCACAAGAGAGGCTCACTCTTCAGCAGACTGTCTTGTCCCTCTCTGTTCAGCTGCACACAGCCCTCACCCATCTGCCTACAAATGAACCTTCGAGAGAAAGAGCCAATCAGAAGTGTTTTTGAGATTCGGCTGACCAATCAAAAGCAGATATGTGAAAATATTGTTCCTGTCTTTATGTTTTGATCACAGTCCATCCATCCATCCATCCATCCATCCATTATCTTTATCCATTGCTTCCTTTTTGGGTCACTGGTGCCCATATCCAGCAGTCACTGTGTGAGAGGCGAGGGACACCCTGGACAGGTCTCCAGTCCATCACAGGGCCACATAGAGACAAACGAGACAACTATTCACTCTCTCACTCACACTTAAGCCCCTAGTATACTGCCGCGTACATCCATACGCAGAGGTACGCACATACGTACACAGAGGTACGTACGTACATATGCAGAGGTACGTGCGTACCCCCCAGCGTACCCTCCGTGCAAAGCTCAAATTTTTACGACCGCATACGCGTACGCGGTGTCGCACAATAAACTGCCCAGCGACGGACTGTTTTGTATGCGACACCAATGTATTAAATTCCCCTTCTTCATCCTGATCTGGCCTTTTCTTTTGTTTTTTTGCCAAGAGGCAGTGATCTCTTCCTTCTCCGTTGATGCCATGACTGAAATGGTGAGAAATTAAGGAATTTGTCACGAGCGAATTAAACTCAGATCCAGCGTGGCTGCGGGAGGGTCTGGAGATTTCCTGGTGGGCTGGTCTGATGTGTGGGCTGTAGAGCCAGCGCTCCCTGTTTTTTGGGGGGGTTTTTTAGATCTTTTTATTAACAACATATAAACACAGAACACCACTGCTGCGGAGGCTGCCAGCGCTCGCTTTTTTTTCTTTTTTCCGACCTGTCAATCAATCCAGTAGGTGTGTCAGCAAATGACAAATCGGCGACCTCAATTTGTCCCGAAGGTAAACGCCCCTTGTCTGTGAAGCTGCTCTGCAGCTGCTCGGGGTGTACACTGAAGTATCATGTCTGAACCCTCTGCGTACAGTACACGCGTACGTACACGTGAACGGACATACACGGCAGTATACTGGAGCCTTTAGGGCCAATTTAGAGTTGCCAATCAACCTAACATGCATGTTTTTGGTTTGTGGGAGGAAACCAGAGTACCCAGAGGAAATCCATGCATGCATAGAGAGAATATGGGGCCGAGATGGTGTAGAGGCAGGGCAGCCGGCTTGGGACCCGAGAGTCCCAGGTTCGATCCCCAGTCACTGCACATCACGTGGCGTCTCTGGGCAGCACGTCTAATCCCCAAAATGTCCCCCGGGCGCTTTCAATAGCTGCCCACTGCACCACCTGGTGGTGGATGGGTTAAATGCAGAGACTAATTTCGCCATTGTATGGAAACATACAGTGCTGACATTGTGATGACATTATTATTATTATTATTATTATTAATATGTAAACTCCACCCAGAATGGCCCCTGATTGGGATTTGAACCGGCAGCCTTCTCACTGAGAGGCAGCAGCTCTACCAACAGAGTCTCTTTGATCATAGTCCTTTTAAAAAATAAAATAAAATAGTTAAATGCACAATTGTCACACAAGACACTTGAGAGTTGGGAACTTTCTGGCTAAAACTCTCTAGTTTCAGGAAACAACACAGCACAATAACTGCTTCGGCGAATAAGTGTTGTAAGCTCAATCATCCAGGTAGATAACAACAAAAAAGGTTAAATCATGTCATCTGGACCAGTTTCTTTAAAAGGGAAACGTTTCATCCCCCATCCAGAGGACTTCCTCAGTCTACGACCCGCCGACCAGATCTGTCCCACAGGTCGCCTTCACTGCTGTTTCAAGTCAACTTCCTGTTGGAATCTCAAAAGAAGGCTTTTGAAATGCTTCGCTGAAGGTTCTTAATGACGTTGTTGAAGCACTGGATGCTAAGGATTATTGTGCTGCACTTTTCTTAAACCTGTCTAAAGCTTTTGACACTGTGGATCATGGCATCTTATGTTGTAAGCTCTCAGAAATTGGTTTCTCAGAACACACCATTGGTTGGTTCTCCAACTATCTCTCAGACCGGAGACAATGTGTTCAATATAATTGTACTTCCTCCAGTTATTTAACAGTCAACAATGATGTACCACAAGGTTCAGGCTTAGGACCCACCCTCTTTACAATCTACTTTGTACATAAATAATGTAGGTCAGATCATCCCTGATGCATCCTTATATTTCTATGCTGATGACACAGTTGTTTACTGTCGAGCTAAAACAGTTGATAAGTTTTTCCAGCTTTTGCAATCTGCATTTAACATCCAGTCAGATTTGTTCCGTCTCAAACTCGTCCTAAATGCCGACAAAACCAAAGGGATGTTGTTTTCAAACAGGAAGTTGGTCCCAGCAGTTCTTCCTCCAATTTTATCCTTGAATGGTGTCCCTATTGAGTTTGTCGATTCCTAAAAATATTTGAGTATCTTGGTCAATTCGCATCTCTCTTTTAAGCTCCACGTGGAAAAACTAGTAAAGAAACTGAAAGTTAAACTGGGTTTCTTTTTCAGAAACAGATCCTGTCTAACCCTGAATGCTAGGAAACGCCTTGTATCTGTGACTTTCCTTCCCTCCATTGATTACGGTGACATTATTTACATGAACGCTCCTACAAGAACCCTGCAGCTGTTGGATGCTGTCTATCATGGTGCACTAAGATTCACTGGCTATAACTACTGTACCCACCACTGCATCCTGTATTCACTGGTTAACTGGTCATCATTAACTTGACACAGACTCTCCCACTGGTACATTTTCATATTTAAATCACTTCTTGGTCTGTTGCCTTCATACATATCCTACATGTCACTGCATAAGTGCAGCTACAGCGTGCGCTCTCAGGACATTATTACCTGCAGTGTTCCCTCAGTGCGGACTGAACTAGACAAAAGGGCCTTCTCCTACTCTGCTCCTGTTTCCTGGAATATCTTACAAAAAGATTTGAAGCTCTTGACCTTGACCTCTCTAAGTGGCTTCAAACATCTGCTAAATTCCTGGCAAAAACCAATGCAGACATGTTCCTGTTTTTAGTTCTCTACATCGCCTCACATCCTAGCTATTTTTGTTTCTTTTTTTTTAATACCCTTTTATTTCACTTGTTCTTCTCAATTTGTGCACTTTCTTTTATGATTGTCCATTGTTGTCATCATTCTTTGTTAAAACAAGGTCTCTCTTGTAAATGAGTCCCCGAGGCTCATTAGGATTAACCTGTATAAATAAAGGTTGAATGAAAAAAGTAAAAGGCTAGGAAAATGCTAAAAGTAGCAAGAAGCTAACTAGAAGCTAAAAGGAGCCAATGGCTAGCTAAATATTAAAAGTGGTAGAATCGTAGCTACAACCTAAAAGTAGCAGAAGACAAAATTAAAGCGAGTTTGCGGAAGCAGATTTTAGAAATTAACGTTGTGAAGGAATTAAATGATCTTAATGTATTTCTATGGGGAAAATATTTGTAGCTAAATTTGTCACCAAATTTTAATGTTTTGAACAGCATGAAAGTCCCAACACCCGTCTCTTGAAAGAGCTGAACATTTTGATGTATTAATGGTTGCAATAGCACAAAGTGTGCAAAGTAGTTAGATACAGAAAAGATGTTCTAATGCTTATCTGTTAATTAGTTTGTGTTTGTTTTCCCGAAGGCGTTTTCAGAGGGCACGGCTTCAACCTTTGATTACACTCTGAAGGAAAAGCCTCCCTTCACCCTCAGGAATGCCCTGGGAATTCCTCTAATTGTGCAGCACAGTGCCAACTTGAAGCCAGTTGGAGATCCAGCTCGGGGAAAACTTCACGAGCTGCTAGTGGATCAGAGTGTGGACCTGGTCCACTCTGTGTTTGAGTCATCATTCAGAGGAAAACTTTCAGCTCTTCAGCGCCAAGAGAGCTGCCTGTTCAACCTCACAATCGGTCAGAGCCCCTCACTCTCACTTCGTTTGTACTCCAGCAGACAAACTAATGAAGCTGTGTCTGTGAAACTGCAGTGCCCTCCGGATACAGCGAGATCTCCAACGTAGCTGTGGACAAACCTGGTCGGCGCCTCTTCAACATCCGTGGTCCAATGCTACAGGAGGCAGTTTCTGTGCTGGTTCAGATCGATGCTGCTGAGGGCAACAAGGTCATCACGGTTCGCTCACCACTGCAGGTCTGAATCCACACAGCTCAGACACACTGAGCTGAAATCAGACTGGATCATTACAACCTCTGTTCCAGTAAAGTTAAGGTGTATAAAATAAATAAAAACAGAATGTGTTCTGTTTTTATTTACATTTTACACAAGGTCTTATCTTTGTCAGGTTTGGAGTTGTATGTAATCCTCCTTCATAATTGTTGTTTGTGTTTTCAGATAAAGAATCACTTCTCTGTGCCCTTTGCAATCCTTAAGTATTGTCCAAAATCTAGGAGTCTGCAGAGTGTGGGAACAGCTGAACCTGAGAAAGAGTTTCATGTCACTTTGGAATCATACAGGTATCATTCAATTCAGTTTATTTATATAGCGCCAAATCACAACAAAGTTGTCTCAGGGCACTTTACAGGAACATTCACATACATAAAAGCCAATTAGTAAAGTTCTTTATCTAAGGTACACCCTGCAGTTTTGTACTGCTGTCACTTTGGTTTACAGTAGTTTCAGTCATTTGACATCTGCTGAGTTTAGTCAGTGTTATGTTTGCATAAGAGCAATGTAAAGAAAAGTTCCATCACATGTCCTGCAGAGCTCAGCTGTTCGTACGTCCAGGGGGACTTTTAGACGGTCAGTATGGTCCGTCCTCCAGCTGTGTGGCCTGGAAGGAGCAGGTGCATCAAAGTTTCCAAGTCCGCTCGGTGCTGCAGTGTCCTGCATCTGACAGCAGTCTACTGCCACTAATGGTCAGCACGCTGGCCATCCCTGATGACCTGCGACACATCACCAGCCACGGTGAACAAGACTGGGATCCTGCCTACATCATCCACCTACACCCTGTGGCCACACTTCGCAACCTGCTCCCCTACACAGTCCGCTACATGATGGAGGTAATGCAACAATGGCTAAAACTATTCAGGAAACAAAATACAGTATCTTAACAAGATCTCAAAATACCGTAATCAGCCATAACATGATGACTTCCTGATAAAAATGGGTAGGTTTCATTGGTTCTGTAAAGTCTATGCTTACCTCCAGACTCCTGTAAACCACTCAAGGGCTGCTGTGGTCCTTTGATGGTATGCTGCAAACTTGTTTAAACTTCAGAAGGACTGCAGTAAACCTCTCTAAACCTTTACAAATCTGCTGTCAACCTCTCTAAGCTTCAGAAGGTGTGCTGTAAACCTTTGTAAACTTTAAAGGACTGTTGTAAATCTCTAAAGTTTGGAAGGAGTACAATAAACATCTGTAACCTTCTGAAAGACTGCTGTAAACATCTGTAAACTATAAAAGGACAGCTGTAAACATCTGTACACTATAGAAGGACTGCAGTAAACATCTGTAAACTTTGGAAGAACACCCAACCCAACATCCCCCCCGGGGGGGTGGGGGGTGGGGGTGGGATGTTGGTGGCGGGGAGTTGGGTTAAGCCCCCAGTATACTCCCGCATACGTCCATACGCAGAGGTACTCACGTACGTACGCGGAGGTACGAGCGTACCCCCCAGGGCATGTCCGTGCAAAGCTCAATTTTTACGACCGCATACGCGTATGCAGTGTCGCACAATAAACTGCCCATCGACGGACTGTTTTGTATGCGACACCAATGTATTAAATTCCCCTTCTTCATCCTGATCTGGCCTTTTTTTTTTTTTTTTGCCAAGAGGTAGTGATCTTTTCCTCCTCCTTTGATGCCATGACCGAAATGGTGAGAAATGAAGGAATTTGTCACGAGCAAATTAAACTCAGGTCCAGCGTGGCTGCGGGAGGGTCTGGAGATTTCCTGGTGGACTGGTATGATGTTTGGGCTGCAGAGCCAGCACTTCCTGTTTTTTTTATTTTTTAGATCTTTTTTTTAACAACATATAAACACAGAACACTGCTGCGGCTGAGGCTGCCAGCGCTTTTTGTTCTTCTTTTTTCCGACCTGTCAATCAATCCAATAGGTGTGTCAGCAAATGACCAATCGGCGACCTCAATTTGTCCCAAAGGTAAACGCCCCTTGTCTGTGAAGCTGCTCTGTAGCAGCTCAGGGTGAACGCTGGAGTACGATGTCTGAACTTGGGACTTTAGACGGATCAACGGATCAGATAGTCAAATTTACACACACAGGTGCTGCGCGGAGTCCTTGTCTCGTCCTCCTCTCCAAATATTGTCCCCTCGTCAGCGGGGCCGCACACTGAAAAACACCCCCTCTCCTCCTCTCAGACCCACGAAACAGAAAAGATAATTTATTCAACAGAATAAATAAATTCCCTGTAGACAGCGCACGTTACGCACAGAAACGTCTCCAATCTCTACCCAACGCGCGCACACATCAACAGGTGTCTGAACTCCTGCTACATTTCAGACATAATCCATCCATCCATCCATTTTCTTCCGCTTATCCTGGGTCGGGTCGCGGGGGTAGCAGCCTAAGTAGGGAGGCCCAGACTTCCCTCTCCCCAGCCACTTGGGCCAGCTCTTCCGGGGGAATCCCGAGGCGTTCCCAGGCCAGCCGAGAAACATAGTCCCTTCAGCATGTCCTGGGTCTTCCTCTGGGCCTCCTTCCGGTGGGACTTGTCCGGAACACCTCACCAAGGAGGTGTCCAGAAGGCATCCTAAACAGATGCCCAAGCCACCTCAACTGGCTCCTCTCGACGTGGAGAAGCAGTGGCTCTACTCTGATTCCCTCCCGGATGATCGAGCTTCTCACCCTATCTCTAAGGGAGAGCCCAGACACCCTGCGGAGAAAACTCATTTCGGCCGCTTGTATCCGAGATCTCATTCTTTCGGTCACAACCCAAAGGTCGTGACCATAGATGAGGGTAGGAACGTAGATCGATCGGTAAATTGAGAGCTTCGCCTTTTGACTCAGCTCTCTCTTCACCACAACAGACCTGTACAGTGCCTGCTTCACTGCAGACGCTGCACCTATCCGCCTATCGATCTCACGCTCCATTTTTCCCTCATTCGTGAACAAGACCCCAAGATACTTGAACTCCTCCACTTGGGGTAGGACCTCCTCCCTGACCCGGAGAGGGCACTCTACCCTTTTCCGGCTCAAGACCATGGCCTCAGATTTGGAGGAACTGATCTTCATCTCGGCCGCGTCGCACTCGCTGCGAACCGCTCCAGCGAAAGCTGTAGATCACGATCTGATGAAGCCAATAAAACCACATCATCTGCAAAAAGCAGAGACGCAATCCTAAGGCCACCAAAACAGATCCCCTCAACACCTTGGCTGCGCCTAGAAATTCTGTCCATAAAAGTTATGAACAGAATCGGTGACAAAGGGCAACCTTGGCGGAGTCCAACTCTCACCGGGAACAAGCCCGACTTACTGCCGGCGATGCGGACCAGGCTCTGACATCGATCATACAGGGATCTAACAGCCCGTATCAAAGGGCCCGGAACCCCATACTCCCAGAGTACCCCCCACAGGGTCCCCCGAGGGATGCAGTCAAACGCCTTCTCCAAGTCCACAAATCACATGTAGACCGGTTGGGCAAACTTCCACACACCCTCCAGGACCCTGCTGAGAGTGTAGAGCTGGTCCAGTGTTCCACGGCCAGGACGAAAACCGCACTGCTCCTCCTGAATCCGAGGTTCGACTATCCGACGGACCCTCCTCTCCAGAACCCCCGAATAGACCTTACTAGGGATGCTTAAGAGCGTGATTCCCCTGTAGTTGGAACACACTTTACGGTCCCCCTTTTTGAATAGGGGGACCACCACCCCGGTCTGCCAATCCAGGGGAACTTGCCCCGGTGTCCACGCAATATTGCAGAGTCGCGTAGGCCAACACAACCCTACAACATCCAGAGCCTTAAGGAACTCCGGGCGAATCTCATCCACCACTGGGGCCCTGCCATCGAGGAGCTTTTTAACCACCTCGGTGACCTCAGCACCAGAGATTGGAGGGCCCGACCCAGAGTCCCCAGGCTCCACTTCCTCAGTGGAAGACGTGCCGGTGGGATTGAGAAGGTCTTCAAAGTATTCCGCCCACCGACCCACAACATCCTGAGTTGAGGTCAGCAGCACACCACTCCCACTGTAAACAGTGTTGGTGGCGTACTGCTCCCCCCCCCCCCCCCCCCCCCCGAGACGCCGGATGGTGGACCAGAATCACCTCAAAGCCGTGCAGAAGTCATTCTCCATGGCCTCTCCGAACTCCTCCCATGCCCGAGTTTTTGCCTCAGCGACCACACGAGCCGCATGTCGCTTGGACTGCCGGTACGCATCAGCTGCTTCCGGGGTCCCACAGGCCAAAAAGGCCCTATAGGACTCCTTCTTCAGCCTGACTGCATCCCTCACCGATGGTGTCCACCATCGGGTTCGAGGGTTGCCGCCGCGACAGGCACCGACAACCTTGCGGCCGCAGCTCTGGTAAGCTGCCTTGACAATAGAGGCACGAAACATGGTCTTCTCAGACTCAATGTCCCCCACCTCCTCTTCGGGCTGTGCCCGGCCGAGCTCCATGGGTAAATGCCCGGCCACCAGGGGCTCGCCTGCGTGTCCCATCTCCAGGCCTGGCTCCAGAGTGGGGCCCCGGTGACCCACGTCCGGGCAAGGGAACATTAGGTTTGTTTATTTCTCTCATCATCGGGGTCTTTGGGCTGCACTTTGTCTGGTCCCTCACCTAGGACCTGTCTGCCATGGGTAGCCCTACTAGGGCTGTAAAGCCCCTGACAGCATAGCTCCTAGGATCATTGGGACACTCAAACCCCTCCACCACGGTAAGGTGGCAGCCCAGGGAGGGAACAGACATAATAAATAAAAAAAGCTTACTGTAAAAAATAAATTAAAAATACAAAGAGAGACATGTTTAATGTGTTATTCACATTATACGTCACATTTCAAAACAACGGTGGTAATTTGTCAAAATAACAACAGTGATCAAAATGTCAAAAAGACAGTCCCATATACTTTAATATAAAATGGATGGTTGGATGGATGGATGGATGGATGGATGGATTGTCCTTAGTTGGACAACAGAAAACTGAAGCCTTCATGTGCTTCAAACGGTGCCACGAGACTGGATCAGGAGTGGAGAAGAGTTCAGCTCAGAACTGTGAAGTGAGGGGAGGGAGGAGGGGGTTTAGGACACCTGACAGAATCAGAGCTGCTCACACACAACCTGCTGTTCTTCTCCAAAATAGTAATTTTTCTGTGAGAGGACACACGAACACCACCCCACCCCCTGTTCCGGCATCAATCAGTTTACAAATTAAGCCCTGCATTAAACCTCTGTAAACCTCTATAGGTCTGCAGTGAACATTAGTAAACTTCTGAGTGACTGCAGTAAACCTCTGTAAAGGTCTGAAATATGCCATGGTCTTTTGAAGGTCTGCCAAAGTCCTCCAAAGGTAAGCACTGGTCTGAAGGTTCGGAACTTTCAGTTGGTGGCTCCTGAGCATTGTGCTGACCCTTGTGCATCCACACAGAACTTGTTCAGCAGTTTTGAAAACAGCAGCCCTTCTGTTGGATCAAAACAACATAAGCCAGCCTTCACCTCCAACATTAATCATTGCTCCTTGGCTCTGGTTGTTTGAGTTTCCTACTTTAGAGCAAAATAATGTTATTGCACCACTTGCCACTAGTGGTCATAATGTTATGGCTGGTCTGGTTGGTTTTTTTTTTTGTTTTGATATGTGAGAAAGCATCTTTGTTTCTGGTGTCTGTTGTGAAAATGTTCTGAACCTTTGGGATTTCATTTGTCGGGGTTTCTTTCCTCAGAACTCAGCAGATTTTCATGAGCTTCAAGAAGGCAGCACTTCAGACCTGCTGAACGCGCGAATCTCAGGTGAAATAGTTTCGTTAGCACTGATCCAGTATCAGGGGCGTGACTGGCATGGACACATTCAGATCAGTCAGAACATGGAAGAGTTTTTTGCGGTGTGCCTGGCCTGTGACTCAGAAAGCAGTATGACAGCAGATGTGAGCGTTCATGTTTCCAAGACAACAAGCCGCCTGGTGATGTCACTCTTCAGCCCATACTGGATCATCAACAAGACTTCCAGAGTGCTTCAGTACCAGTCTGAGAACGTCAGTTTCAAGCACCCTGCTGAGTACAGAGATGTCATTCTGTTCTCCTTTAAGAAGACCAACCTGTTCAGCAAGAACAAGGTGAGACACCCAGACAGGAACTAACTGCATTTTGTCATTTAATTCACTTTTTGTGTCAAGTCCAAATATTTATTATGTTTTCAAATAAAGATGTGCTACTATTTTAACTATTATTTTATATTGATTTATTGGGATCACTCTGGTGAAAAAAATTGAAAGATTAAAGATTTAATTGTTTTTAATTGTTTTCACTTTTTGACATTCGTCCAAATGTTAGGAATAAAGATGTGATGTCAATATTAAAGTGAAAATGTTGTGATCAGAATTTAAATGTGAACAACTAAGTCATATTAAGATTTATTTATTAATATATATATATACATATATATATATATATATATATATATAT